CCCTCTTTTGCAGCAGCCTGAAAATGGACTGGAATTGGTGCTGGAAACATGATCTCCAGAGTGATAAGACATATTCGAGTTGTGACTCCACAAGGGCAAAATATACACGTTGCGGGCAACTTCTTCATCAAGTTCTCGAAAGGTGACACGCACGTAGAAATAGCCTGATTCCAGTTTTTTATTGAGCTTGGCAATATGGGGTTCAAAGACCATGCTATCGCCATCGGCTAGGCCATCAAGAGTACAATAAAAACCAATGAAATGAATCTTGGACATGTTTAAGCAGAGAAGATTCAAGTCACAGCATTCCCTGACCCTAGCCAAATCCAACTCGATACCTCTTAGCAGCAAGTTCTACCATGTATTTCATACGAGAAAAGCTTTCGCAGCAGTATTACTTGATACAGTCAAACGCTTTCGACAAATCACAGAATACAGCAGCGGAAGCCTCGCGTTCCATAATAGAATGATAGATGTTGGATAGAAGTCTGAGCATAGCGTCAGTTGTGATTTTGTGAGGCCGAAAGCCGAACTGACACTCTTATATCTAGGATTATAATAGCGATGTCTGGTAGAGCCTCTAGTTTTTTAAAGAGATGCCATCGTCCGTAGTAGCTTCTTTATTTTTCATAGCATTGATGGTAGTTCGAATTTCATAGCTAAGGAGGACGTTGGGAAAAAAGCATGAAGATATTCAGATATATTCCTACTATATAGAAAGATATGTGAGAGGATCTCTGTCACATGTAGATTATCTGTCAGTTTATTGGCGACCGAACAGTAGTACTCGTTTAAGATATCAACGCTTAAGTTTGCTGGGATGAAATTTTATTGGCTCTATTGGATATTTCGTGAAAAATTGACCAAGTCTCTCGTTGCTTGTTGTCCGAGTTCAATAGACGCCCCGAGTAGTACAAATTTTTCGGTCCCCCAATGATAGTCCTATATATTTTCCTATAGGTCAAGTAATATTGTTGGATCATGAGGCTCTTAGAAAAGGTCTCTTAAGCTTGTTTGAGCACCTAAGATTCACAGTGGAGGTGCGAATACCACGCGTAAGCCATTTTTCACGGTCCCGGCGCATAGTATTTTTTCGACGAAGTGGAAAGGCATTGTTCATAATCTTTGACAGTGTCTTGTGAAATGCTCCCAAGGGGTCAGTTTCCACAAGAACGGAATTCCAATCAAATAAAAGACAATGATGTCGGAAAAGTCTAAAATTACGAGTGCTCTAAATCCTCCCAGGCCTCAATCTTCCACCGACATCATTCTTCAACACTCGAACAGACGCACTTTGACATTCAAGAAACCTTCGGCAAGAAGACATAAACTTCAGATAGGTGAAATAGTTTAAATTTGGGAAAAAATTAAATTCGTGTATTTCCCAATTGAGAATAGTCTATTTAAGCTGTGGGATTTCAAAATCCCGAAAGAGTTCAAGTTCAAGTACAGAACAACACTGTCAGCAGCCCCGAAGTCCATGGTCAACTGAAATAACCTGCTTGTCATCTGTGCAGAGTATCCAGGGCGACATTCTCCATGAAAGAAAGAGGAGCGCGCGTAAGGATGTGCGAATCTGAGTAACCCAGATGCCAATCCGCGCGAGCTTCGGTCTCCAAAAACCAAAACTCTTGCTTCTTCTAGACCAACAGATTTGCTGAATATTTGAGTAGATTGTGCCTCAGAGGTTTGTTGCCCAGAAATTTCAGCTAACAGCAGGTTCTACTTTGTGTGGGAATCAGCCACAGATAATTCGTCAAACAAGGAGTCGAATGCATTTGAGTTCCTCAAGGTAGACAGGTGCTTGGTAGCAACTGAGTAGGAAGGAAAGGGTGACCTTGATATTATCCGCTTTCTGTTCATCCGCTTTCTGTTCATGTGTAGAAGCTGCCCGCTCTCTTCTGTTTTGTGGTGATGAACATTTTTCCATGTCTCAGTCCTGGAGTTTGTATGCAGTATGCAGATAATAATTGGTTCTTGTCCGATTTGTTTTGTTTATACGTGGCTCTTCATTAGGCCGCAGTACAATTGGATGTGTATACAGGGTGTCCGGTAAGTATATGGCATACTCTCGGGAGCGTATAGGAGGGGTCAAAATAATCCTACTTTGTTCTAAAAAAAAATTCCTAAAGTGCCCCTTAAACAAGGTGCGTATAAAAAAACCTAATTTTTTCGGAAACGGCTGATTTAATCGAAACAAATGAAGAGCACCTTTTTGAAAAGAAATGACCAAAGTATTCAAAAAATCAGTATTCAGCTGTGTAAAATGACTCCTGTCAAAAATTTGGCACAATGAATATGGTGGCAAGTCCGTTCCTGACTTCCCAGACTATGTGAAACATCTGCTGTAGGATGATTTTATGAGTCTTTATGGCCAACATAAAATATCAAAATTAAATTATACAAGTCGGTTCAAAAGTTAGAGCCAAAAATGTGGATCGCCAGGTACTCTTTTGGGGCTCTGTATCTCCGTTAAGGGGCACTTTAGGAATTTTTTTTTAGAACAAAGTAAGGTTATTTTGACACTTCGTCAACTTTTTCAACGCTCATTGGACGGCGACTTTTTTCCAGGAGCTTGGAAACTTTCCTTTCTATTGCCAATTTTCAAGTCGGGGGACAAGTGTGACATCGAGAACTATCGTCGTATTTTCATCCTATCTGCTATTCCTAAACTCCTCGAATCTATTCTAACTGACGAGATATTCGCGACTTACAACAGATATATTAACTCTCTCCAGCATGGCTTTTACCGAGGACGTTCAACCACAACCAACCTTGCAGTCTACCAGAACTTTTTGGTCATCTCAGTTGAACAGGGACAAGTTGATTCTATTTATACCGACTTATCCAAGGACAGCGTTCACCATCAGCTACTCCCCAAGAACTTTGGATGATTGGGAACTATGTCAGCTGGGTCCAATCTTACCTTGGTGATTTCCGGCAGCGAGTTGATGTCGGTGGTATATTATCCAGTGAAGTAATGGTTGTGTCTGGTGTCTCTCAAGGATCTTACCTGGGACCTGTACTGTTCTTCTCTTCATCAACGATGTAACGTCTTGCTTCTCCTCTTCTCATGTCTTGTTTTACGCTGATGATTTGAAATTGTATAATAAGGTATCCGTGGTTGACAAGTTTGTATCTTGGTGTTCCTTCAATCACATAAAGATTAATGTTCCAAAATCAAAGTGTTCGTAACTACACCATGAACAATCAACTCCTCACCTCAGTCGACTGATTCAATGATTTGGGAGTGGTTTTCCAGAAAGACCTCAGTTTTAATTTGCATGTTGAGAACGTTGCAATTGAGGGCCTTAGAATGCTGGGTTTTATGAAAAAGAATTCCAAATATATAATTGATACCAAAGCAGTATGCTGTCTGTATTACTTACTTGTCCGTAGCATACTAGATTACTGCTTAACTAAATATTTAGACCCCCAAATACACTATCCACAAAAGCAGACTAGAAAGGATTCAAAATAAGTTCACAAAGTTCCTTCTGCACCATTTTCCTTCAGACGGACTAACCTATGAAACTAGGCTGATGCTTTGTAGACTAAAAAGTCTTGAACAACGAAGGAGGTTTATTTTGCTTTATAAGCTGTGCAACGGGATGATCGACTGTAACATCTTGCTAGGCTTACTACATTTAAAAATTCTCTTAAGACGCACCAGGCAATATAAACTCTTTTATGAAGGCCAACATCGTATCAACTATGGCCAAACCTTTCATCGACAGATTGATGGTTAACTACCACCGTTTCTACTACGACTATGATATTTTTAACTACTCCCTGCCACAAATCAGGAAGATGATTATGTTTATGTAATTTTAACTGTGACCCCTATTCATTTCTCGTTTTATATACCTTTGTCTATCTGTTTTTATCAGAATTTTTATACGGCTTGACTTTAACTGAGATTGCTTCAGTAGTATCTTATCTGTATATCTATGTTTTTATTTTTGTGCAGTATTTATCGCACCGTACAGCGTGCATAAAATGATGTTTATGATGCGTCTACCTTTTCAAAGGTTGCTATAGAAACGTTTGATCTACCTTTATTACCTAGATATTCACCTGCCGTTTAAATTACTATTTATCAAAATGAATAAACACATTTGCAACATTTTTGAGATTATCATGCATTCGTAATAAAAAATAGCGTATGATATGCGTGTATAAGAGCATTTAAAGCCCTTGCGACTTACAAAACACTCCGCTGCGCGTCGTGTTTTGCAATTTGTCACGCGTGCTTTAAATGCCCTCTTATACACTTATATCATAATATACTATTACGTGTCTAAATTAATAACTATGTATGAGGTACCTATTCAAGTAATAATGAGCTTCAAAACATAATATTTAATTTTTCAATATTGAAGTAGGCTGGTACACATTTAAATTACTAACAATTTTTTTCCACAACGTTTTACACATTGACGAAGTTCAATTTATTCGCGTCTACTCTCCATGCTCCCACACATACTTACTGCCCATTCGACGGTGTAATTCAAATTGTATCGGTTGGATAAAAAATCCGAGCACCGAGCGAAATCCTCTTACAAAACTTCTCCTGAATTAGGATTTGATGCATTTTGCTCGATTTGAACGGAACGTTGTTAATTGAAGAGGAAAAATAGTCGATGGAATTTTTTGTACACAACGTTATAAAATGGCATTTCACTACACAAATTGAAATAAAAAAGGTAGACTGTAGGAAGGAGTATTTTTTGTCAACTTTACAGTGCTTTACAGATTTGCATCCTCTGCAGCGCGTTTAGTTTTAAAGTTCAAAGGTCCCTAAGCATGAAGGGCTGAAGTTCAAATTAACTCTGGGATTTAAAATCGAACTAAAACTACCACTTTGGCGCAAAAAAAAAACTAACTCATTTACATACTAATTGCGCGCAGAGAAGTTAACTTTATTGTACACTAGTTTATTGACACTGATTTCTAGTTTTATTAGATAATCAATCGTTTAATTTATTTTTCTCTTTCAGATTAAAATAGTATTTCTCACATGGCTTCCCAAAATCCTATTGATGCACAGGCCTGGAGATAGCGACGGTAGCAATACGTACTCGCCTCCTCATCGACCGTCTTCGGTACAAACGGACAGAAAGACAATAAGTTTTCCGGATGTCGAAATGAAAGAAAGATCTTCGAAAAGTCTTTTAGCAAATGTTTTGGACATCGACGACGATTTTCGACATAACTATCGTGGCGGTGGGACACCCACACCGTTACCTGCTACATTTTATAGAACAGTTTTTAGGTAAGAATTTTATTTTTCAATGATTCTCATCCTAATAAATTTACCTCATGATCGAAGCTCTCCAGAACCATAACTAAGTGATCCTGATGAATTAAAAATAAAGGTTCAGTTTTATATTAAAATGACGAATATAGAAATCGATAATACCGTATTAACTCAAACCAACATTTAATCGGGTGTACGATGTCAAAATGTAACTCGGGTATTGGTATTAGTACTGATCAAAGCGGCTTTTAAAAGCAATATGCAATCTGTATCTAGATCGAGCAGCCAAACAAAAATTCTACTGCTACTGCAAATAAGTTTGTGAATCAAAAGTAGCTTTGTTTTGCAGTAGGCGACGGTGCTAGCAAAACCCTGAGTTTCTGCTTGTCCGCGAATTTCCTGGATCTTTCTCTTGTCACTTTGAATTTCTTCCGGTAAAACTTCGTGGCCAAGAAAATCAACTCGCTGTTGGAAGAATAAATATTTATTGTCATTTATTCGGGGATTTGCCTTTCGGATACGAGTAAATGCTTCTTGTGAAGTTGTTACAAATTAATTATAAAATAAAGTATACTTTAAGAAAAGATAACCTAGGGTCGTGAATTCAAAGAAAAATTAAAATAACGTGTAGCCCCTTTATGTGCAAATGAAACCACTCAAAATCCAACAAACAATAATTTTATTATGTTTATAATATTATGCAGTCAATGTTAAATGTTGACAGCTTGGTTGTTCTGGTGAATCTGACACCATATACCTTTTCAATCTGGAGCTCTTCAGTGGGTGTTGGGGTTTCACTTTCGTGAACTGGAGCTCTTCGTGTGATTTCCTGTTTCCAGGAAGAGGATAGATTGCTGGGGTGACTCCAAACAGTGATCTTTATGTAGAGTAGGTACCCAGAAAAGAATAAGGCAGTATCAGGTTCACCAATATTTGGAACATTTATTTCCTGAATTCTGTCAAAAAGTGAGTGTCTTGCATAGGAAATTGAAATTGAAATTTAGTATAAAATGATTATTGCACAGACACTAAAACTATTGCAAGTAGAAAAAATTATTATTATTTTAACTAAAAAAAAAAAAAAATAACTAAGAATAATGATAAGATAATGATAATAGTAAAATAAAATAATAACAAGATTTAATTATAATGATTATAATGCTCGTCATAATTGAGCAGAATGCTGCTTTTTTGATAACAGTTCTGGCAGGCAAAAATACGAACAAAAATAAGTTAGGTAAAAAAAATAAGAAATGAAATCTCTGGATTCTCCCCTAAATAGACAAAATTTTCCTCTCAAATTAAGGTAGCTACCACAGATACTAGATAAACCTAGGATTGAAATCAATCAAATCCAGAATGTGTCAAAATTCTTGAGATGTTTTAATTAAAACTTTTTAACTGAAGTTTTGACCTGTCTGGATTTCTATTAAAAAATTACACCCTTCAGTTGAGATAATATTTTAGGGAGTCAAACAGAAAATGGTTGTTCAGGCCTCTACCTGGATTCTACAGAGTTAATGGGCATGGACTCACTAATTTGGTTCTCACCGACTCTATTTAGAGCAAATGGTCCAATATTTCCACACTAAAAATTGATTCTGAAAGCCAGAGCAGCAGTACCTATTTAAAATCCAAAAATCTGTGTTGACTTACCTCTTATAACAAAACGTGGCACTAACTAATAAACAATCTCACAAAATGGAAACCAATAATTAGATAAAAAAAAAAACTTAAAATATAATATTTATATTTCAAAAAACAGATAAGATAAGATTTATCAGGTAAAAACTTAATAAAGATATGATAATTTGAATATTGAAATATTTATAAGGCCGGATCCAGAAATTTAGAGCACAAAATTATTTTAAAAATAAAGTGGACTTGCAAGCCAGACTATTTTTCAAGGAAAGAGAGCGTTTTAGAAACCACAGCCAGCAGGAAAACGATCCCGTGTTTTTTATACTTACTGCATTCCAACCAGCTTCAACCAATCAGACGAGTACACCCAAAAGAGAATGGATAAAAATCCACTAAAATTATAATAATTTAAATTAAGGTTTTGTCAAAAATAAAAAACTGTTAAATAATTAGATCATTAAGCCAAAAAATTATTATTTCAGAATCAGAAGTTAGAAAAGGACAGAAATATATCCATTTGCTAAAAGTGAGATAAATATAACTTCTTTCAATAAAAATACAAATGACTGTCAAATGCGAATTAACCAAAAATCATACTTTGAAAAATAAACCAGCGGGCACTAGATGGCAGTACTGAAAAGTGAATTCTTGATATTTGCATTTTACGCAAATGTGGATAGATGGCAGCACTTCTATTATTTGAATTTGAATTTTGTGGATATTATTTGGCTGATTCTAAAATGGAAAAAATACGACTTTATAATGAAAATAAGTAGAGATGGAACATGTTACATAAATGATAAATTTATCGTAACAAAGTGTTCTCCAAAACTTTTTTTTTTTTCCTGGAGTAATACATCATCCAGGCAGACAAGGCATACTTTTCACGGAAATCCTCGTAGTATGATTTCCATTAGCCTGTCAAACAAAGCAGGGCATTGCAGAGTCCAAATAAGGCATTATTTTGAATCCACTGCTAGTGAAAAACGCTGTCTTCTCTTTGTTTTTTTCTGGTAATATCCACATGCCAGTATCCGCTTTTTCAGTCAAAACTGAAAACGAATTTGAATCAGACAATGTCATGAGGATATCGTCAATTCTCGGTAGTAGGTAATTGGATTTCATCGTCTAGCCTTCTGTAACCGATACAAAACCTGGTAGATCCATCCTTTGGCGATGAACACGGATTTGAGACTATTCAATAAGTTTTTCTGCAAGCACACGTCTACTAGCGAATTCACCTTTTCTTGTTGGGTCATGCGAATACTTTTAGGTGGTTGACGGATCTGATGTGCACTGCCAGTATTGATTTCATACTTCATCATGTTCATCTTACCAGTTTCGCCCATTTTAAATAAGTACCTTCAAAGATATCCCATCGGATGGTTGAGCCGCCTTCTCCAGTTTAGTAGAGGAGATATTTCACCAAGATGTATCGTTTATTTGTCATAAAAATTCTGCTAGATCATCTATTTGCTTTCTCATAGGCTCATAGATGGCTATAAGGTACCCTTGTTAATTTAAATAGTGTTGCGTCAAAGGATTGCTATTCGGTTACAGCACTATTATAGCATCTGACTGGAGGATCGATGTATTTAATAATTGATCGATTGGGGAAAGAACTTTTCAAAATTGAAAAGTGGTTATAGGATTTGGGAATCCACGTCAACTCGAACAGAACGATGACTATTCTGTTCACCAGGCGCAAACCAGTATTCGACAGAAGAATACGGTTAGCCCGAGGGTTAGCCCAAACCTTAATTGAGAAAATCAAGTTAGATTCCTAGAGATAATCTTCAACAAAAGGCTGGAAGGCATCAAAAATACCATATATCTGCTAAAAAAAAGCATTGCCCAATTTACTCCACTTAGTTTTAAAAATAAAATAATAATTTATAAATAAGTCGTATGATCAGTTATTTCTTATGGGGCTATTCAACGTGGATCAACATTCACCACGGTCGATACCCATTCATAAGAAAAAGTTGCACATATTAAAAAACAAAATAATGAGAATTATAACACGCGCACTTAGATACTCCAGAGTCAATCAATTACACAGAGAATTAAAGATTGGACATTTTAATAAATTCATTATTTAAATTGCGAGCAATATTTTCAATAAAGTATGACACAAAACCACCCACTCATCGCTGAGTCACTCATCAACTCTTCCACTTGAGACAAAATTAAGTTTCCTATTGACTTCATGTTTGTACAAAATAACTTGTTACCAGAAACTGCAACCTACTCCTTATTTTAAAACCACTCTCATCACACAAAATTAAAATATTATTTTTCCTTCTCCCTACCTTTACAATATGGTTGATATTACCCACAATCTTATCAGTTCCTAGCGTTAGTAATTGTTCACTATCTGAAATATCTAATCCTTGGTCACTGATTACACTAGCAGCGGTCACTTCCAAATTGGTGGCTTTGGCTTGCATGTCACTTACTGATTGTCTCAACTTTTTTACTTCCTTTATGTTATCCTCATTTTCAACTTTCAAAGTGTTCACAGAAGTTATCAGATTTTTGTTTAGAAAAATGAGTTCTTTAATTCTCACCTCGAATTTTGCCTTGTCTTCCTGCATTGATTCCATCTGAGATATTACTTCCAACTCCTTCTTCTTCAAAAGTTGGAGCACACTAGATAAAATAGTATTGCGTTTATTAGGTTTTTCAGGTTAATCTGAGAATTTTCCTTCTGCTTCTGAGACCACTTCCTCAAATGCTTGACTGTCCCTCCTAAGCCTTTCTATATATCTCTCCCTGTTTCTTGCTTCCTTTTCAAGGTCTTCTATTTTTTCCTCGTACATCTTGTCTTTCTCTTCTCTTCCAAATGATTCGGCCTGACAGTTTAACGAGCAAAAATTTTTATATCCACCCAGTTTTATAACCTCGGTGCAATGGTCCGTACAACTCGGGTGAAAAACAGTAAAGCAATGGACACTCCCTTGCTATCTCTTATCGTTTGTATTTAAAATCAATGTACCTAAAAACAGTGAATAAAAACGCCAGATAGCATTAAAAATCGATAACAACGAATCGATGTCCGTTGTAAGTTCACTGGTTTTTCTTTTTTTCCGCACTCATTTAAGATTTCCTTTGAGTCCGTTCAGGGTACCCTAACTCAATAGCACTTTTTACACATTTATGTACAAAATAAAGTGAATATAAATCTAAACCTCCAATTAATCGCGTTAAATACAAGAGCGAATTCTAGGACGAATTATATTTATATAATTAAATTGGGTTCGTTTATTCCAAAATCAAAGTCCAATTAACACAACAATAATTTATTCCACGTTACCACACACTCTGACACTAATAATTATTTCACTAATTAACTCAAACAACTAACTCTTCAC